TATCACCGAGACGAACAACGATGACAACGACGGCGACGGCGACAACGACGACGACGATGACAACGACGACGAGAGCAATAAACTGTTTTTTGCTGCTGCTGCGGTTACTTCATTTTTATTTTGCAAGCGTTTCGCACAAAAATGAAAACCAACTAAACTTTTTTTTTTAACAAATAACCGTCTATCCAATGAATTTCAAATTTAATTCGGTATTGATTTAGACGGTGAAATCGCAGTTTGGAACAAAAAATTAGAAATGGCTATAGAAGCGACTCGACGCACGCAGTCACACACGCACAATTGACCAACACAATAAATCAAATAAAAGAGAAAAAATCTGTTCACTTTTTTGTTTGTTTGTTTTTGCTTGTAATTACTGGGTGTTTTTTTTTTGTTACTGTTAAATTAGGTTTTTTTTTCTTTGGTTTTGCTTACTTACACCTTTACACACAAAAGCCGCACTGAAAAATTACAAAGTTACATGTGCTCAAATTCGTTACAAAAGAAGATTGCAAGAGAACCGAATCGAGAGAGGGTGAGAATGAGGTGGAAATGACGCGGTGGTGGTGGTTGATGTCAAAAGCACATCACATTGTTGATCCGTCTGCCCCACCCTGTCATGATTACATCATTCGTCGAGCTTTTCGCTTTTTTTTATCGTCGCCTCCAGTTCGTATTAAACGAAAAACCAATTGTGCAATTGTACTTTCACCTGTCTGTGTCTGCGATTGAAATTATTTTTATGGGCGCTGTGTGCCGAACCTTTTTTTTCATTTTAGATTCGTGAATCGGCCGGCACGAGTGGTGCTCGCTCATCGGATTCGATTTTACCGGACCGCCGGTCGCCTTTCTCCCGTTCGGTGTGTGTTCTTTATCACACTCATTCGATGTGCTGTTTAGTATAGTTTTGATGGTGTTTTCATTGCGTGTGCGACGGCGAGGATTATTTTCGGTATCATTTTCAATATTACACAATTCTAGTTGCTCCTATGACATGGAAGGATGTTAATCTGTTGTTTTCAATCAATTGACAGACTGTTTGTTTTAAAATGTTAATTTCAATAAACTCTGCAGTTTCTTCTCTACCTCTATCTCTGTTTCGCTCTCTTTAACTCTTCGCCAATTTTTCAAATGCTTTCCATTGCGCTATTTTCGTTCGATTGATCCTAGAAAGAATGCCGTTCGTTTCACTATTTGTGTGTGTATGATTAATTAGATTTTTTTTTTTCGTAAATTTTTTTGTTCTCTGGACAACTACCGAATGAATGTGTGTTGCTTCGTTTCATCTAAGTATTTCTTGTAATTCGATTATTTTCTTGTTGTTATCGTGGTTGTGATAGTTGCGGGGAGGAGATTTGCTTGCCAGTGTGTATATGATGATGGATCGGTAATAATTGTTGTGTACACGATTTCATAGACCATAACGAATTCGGTTTGCTAGTCGACACGTATTGATCACGACGTGATTATCACGTGTAAACTCATCAAATTTTTGAATTTTTCGCATTTCCTTCGTTCAACTATCGCAACTAAGAGACACAGAGAGGTTGGAGCGAACTGGCACTGAAGAGAAGCGGACGCCAAAATGTCGGAAAAAACGCACTAAATGAACGAAAAAAAAAACACAAAATTCGACAATAAAAACCAAAATCCAAATGGACCAGGAGCACAAAAATGAAAAAAAAACCAAAAACCAATTATTACGAAATTCAAATATTTATTTGATGTTTGTGTGTAGAAAAAAATGTGACAAAAACAAAAAGACCAAAAAAGAGAAACGAAAGAAAAATAAGAATTAAGGAAAAAAAAGTGTCGAGAGAAAAACAAAACAAATTTAGTACACATTTTATAAAACAGAAAAGTGTGTCCGGAAAAAAAAAATTTGAAAAAAAATAAGAAACGAAATAAACGTTTTTAAGAAGAAAAAAAAAATGTTGACTCGTGGATGATGTATCGCCATTTGGAGCCAGAGATGCGCGTGCAAGGTGTACGCGCACGTGGCCCAGATCAAAGTAGCAAACAGCAGCCAGAGTCGCCATTGATGAACTTAAGATTTGTTTTATTTCCCTGTTTCCACTTTTCTGCCGAACAGAACACACATTCTTATTGAATACTCTCCATTCCATATTCTGGGTTGGTTTAATTAATTTTTTTTTTGTTATTTAGTTTTTTTTCTTCTTTTTTAAATTACTCTCTCTCTCTCTTTCTCTTCGAAATCTTGCTTGAAAATTGTTTTCTCTATGATCTATGCAAAAAAGAGTGTTTTTTTAATTTAATTTTTTTAGGTTTAATCGCAGCACAAACTGGAATTCATGTCTTTTTCTGTGTCTGCAGTACCATGTATTGTTTTTTTCTTTCTTGTGGTTGTTTCATCTACTGTGTTATTTTTTTTGTTTGTTTGTTGTTTTGTTTAAACCTTCTTTTTTTTTAAATTCATACACCGTTTCATACCCTCTCACTCTCTCGTGTGTCTGTGTCTATTAAGTCATGTCGCCGTCGTTCGTGTGTTTGTTGCTGGTTAATTTTCTTTTTCTTTCTTTTCTTTCTTTCCATTTCAAAAAGTTACAATGTTTTACAAATCAAATAATAACAATAAATTGAACTCATTTGTCATCGTTTCCTCATTTTGTTTTGGTTTCGAAATGCTTTCGGACTATATTCAGTAGTTGTTGATGTTTTTTTTTTCTTCTTTAATGTTTATTATTTTATGTTTTTTTTTTCTTGTTGTTTATCTAACTCCTGTTGTTGTTTGTTGATTTTTAATTAATTAATTAATTATTTTATTATTAATTTTTGTCTTCAACATTTTTATTTTTCATTGCGTGTGTATTTTTTTTCTTTGGGGGGGGGGGGAGAGTATAGAGTAAAAGAGGGAGAATAAAGAAAAGTAAGTAATTAATTAATTTAACCCATTAACGCGACCGCCCAAAATTGTTTCCAATCGTTTTGTCGCCTTTCTTCCCCTTCTTTCTCTCTCTCTCTCTCTCTCTTTGTCATGCTCACGATTCGGGAATTTTTTTCTTGCGCTTTCATTTGGATGTGATTCAATGAAAGCTTTCAATTATCGATGGTATTTTGTGTGCGACCGAAAAGAAAAAAAGAAGAAAGAAAAGAGCAACGCAATCCAACGTATCTGTATTTTTAGAGATAAGGATAAGTGAATGTAAGTGTTGAAAGCGGGTGCTGATCAGTGACACATCCGATCAGCAAGTGGCCGTCATTGTCGTCGCTAATGGGTTAATCATTTATGAATATAGTAATGTTCTCATATTTCTCTCTTTTATAATAAATCTTAATTAAAAAGTTCTTGTTGTTGTTGTTATTGTTGTTCGGTATGTGAAGGGGGAGGCTGCAATTACTTTTTTTACTTAATTTTTTTTTTCTCTTCGTTATTTTATCATATAGAATAATTTTTCTTCAATGCAATTTCTTTTGTTGTTGTTGTTTCTCTTTGTATTTTATTTTCTTTTTCTTCAAACTCTTTTAAATTTATTTGTTTAAATTTTTGCTGTTAATGAGTGTAAGTGTATTTTTAATTTAGTTGGTTGGTTGCTGTTTTTACTTTATCTTGGGATATTTTTGTTTGTTTGTTGTTGGGTTGTTGCATTTTTTTCTCTTTTTTGTTTATTTGTTAGAGGAGGCGAACGCATAGCTACAGTCTCTCTTCTTCCATTACACATTCTTAATAAACATCTTAAACAAATACAAAGGCTTTAAATATGACAATGATGATGCGGTAGTATAAATAAGCAGCTCACTTCGATGTCATCATGGTCACGAACTCTGCAATTTCGAGAAAGAGGAAAGAAAGAGAAAAAAAAAACATTGCATTATTAGTCAATTCGAACAATTGTTATATTACAGTTTAGAAAATATCCTCCGATATGCGGGGATTTCGTTTTTCATGGGGGAAACAACACATCTTCTTAAAATTACAATACTAAAATATATGGATCAATTACATGTATCTAAATTAAAATTCGTTTTTTTTTTCGATTTAAATACAAATTTTTCGAACCAAAGAAGAAATTCGAATTCTTTTTGAACGAAAAACTATTTTTTCGACCATGAAATTCTTTTTTCCATTTTTGTTTACTATTTTTTTTTTGATTTTTTTGGAAAGTCATAAAAAAATAGTAAACAATTATTCAAACAATTCTTTCCGATTTCGACTGCACCGAAATTTCGTTTACTCAAACAAATTTCACACTGAATTTTATTCAGATGAATTTGCTTTAGTTCATTGAAATTTGTTCAAACTCAATGGTTTTCTGCATTGAGTTTGAATTTGTTGAACCAACTTTGTTGAAAAGAATTTCATTTTCTCTGAACAAAAACTCAATAAAAAAGAAAAAAAAATCCATTGTAAAAAATTTCGAACGAAAAAAAATGTGTTGAATCAAATTGGTTGACAAGTACAAAACGTTTGGTTGGTATAAGAAGCATTCAAATCAAATAGAAAATGGGACGAAGAACGACCAAAATGCGAGGATAGACAGATAATGGGATAGAGGTGACCGAAAATGCACTACTATCTAGAGAAATGAATGTGTGTGTGTGAGTGTGCGGATGTGATGAGAGCGAGTTGCCCGCTCCGATCACATACGGCTACTTACCAAAAGTCAAAGAGTGACACTTAGAAAATAAGGCAAAGATGGAAATGATCAATGAAAGTCGAATTTTTTTTTTATCTCGGAACCCATTATTTTAAGGAAATTAGACACAAAACAAATACTAGGAACGGCAAATAGCTAGGTTTTAACAAAACAAATTGCCTTAAGTGGCGTGAAATTGAGGTGAAAGCTAGATTTTCTAGAAGTTGAACGACAATTGACATCAATCGTGTCATTTTGAGTGTGTGTGTGTGTGTGCACAACATTTAAGGCATATTATCTATATGAATACATCTACTGGAAGACATAAAATCACTCTTGACTGAATCCAAACAAACGAACTCAGCCACACAGCTCGCCAGTAAATAAAACAAAATGCGACAATTAAAATCTAATAGTTGAAATTTATTGAAATTTTCAGTTTGTTGGTTTGCTGTGAAATGAAACTACTCAGCTCAGCTTCATTATTCGGTTCATTGATAAAGAATTTCTTTTTGTTATGGTATCATTTAAAACATTCTTGTTGTTGTTCTGGGTTTGGTTATTTTGCCCTCGGCTCTTAAAATATTCTTATTTTCAAAACAAAATGCTCGGGTATAATAGAATGGCTTGACTTTTTTCTCTGTGGTTTTTTTTCTGTTCTGTATATGTATAAAGTTTGCTTGTAGTTTGGAATTTCATACATATCATGTTGAAACGAAGCTCATTCGGAATGTTCTAATGGTATTGTAAAACAAATGTAAATGTGTGTTTTTTTCTTTTTTTTAATCAACAATTGCTACATGTGACTTTAAATTATTATCGACTTTTATCGTCTTTTTTGAAAGAATTCGTCAAACATTGTTTACTCGGGTTAAAATTGTGTGCATTAAGTAACAAAGTTTTATCTAAAAAAAAAGTACACAAACATTCACAAAGGGAAGAGAATCTATCGATGCGCATGAGTCACACTCAGTATCGCATTTGCATAGGCGCACTATTTCAAATGCAGCCAATCTTATGAACATTGAATGTAATCAACATCGCCATCAAAATAGTTGTTTGATTTCATCATAATTTATTCCATTCGTTTGTTTTCAACGGAAATTTCAATTTTCATTCCAACAAAAATTTATTTTTCATTAAATGATTCAACTTTCTTCGTAAAAAAATTGTCTTCAGGGGAATTTTTTTTTTTCAACCAAAAAAAACCCAATTTATCCTAAATTTTTGTCAAAGAAAGAACAAAAACAACAAAACTTTGTATACAAAAGGAAATTCCAATTTTATAAAATGATTTTTCTTAACCAAATTCAACTCTTTTAGCAACAAAATATTTTTCTACTATTTTTTTCCAACTAAAAATTTATTTGTTTCGATTATAATCTATTTGATAATTATTGAAAATGAAAAAAAAAATTGGACCGATTAAAATGATGAAAAAATGGTTTAAAAAAATTGTTTTATTTTTGGTCTAACATTTAAAATCTAATTAAATAGAGAATTTATTTTTATCACTTTCATTTCGTTTTGCCTCTTGCAACATGCAATTTGTTGCATTTTTTCGTACGATTCTCGAGTGTTGACTAGAAAAAAAAAATGGAAAAATCGTATTTTTTCTTTGCGAATTTTGAATTCATTGCAAGAGATTCGTCAAATAAAATTGGTTTTTGGCAATTAGTCAAAATTTCATTGTTGTTTTTTTCTAATATAGAGGAAATAATTTCCATTTAAACTACTTTCATTCGTGAGACCGTGAATGTGTCCATTTTAACACGGTTTCGTCTGACATTTTGCCTGTCTGCAAAGGTTTTTCCACTTCAATATCAATATTATATGTTATAATATCATAGACATAGACTGTTTCATTTTAAAAAAAGGATCGATTATTTGTTCCTTGTTAAAATCCTATTCGGTTGCTATCACATATTCAGAATAATTGTCTTACAAACCAAGAAAAAAGTGCTGAAGGTAGTGTGCAGTAGTTTTGGTTTGGCAATGTATATATATGTATATATTTTGAGTGAACAAATAAAATTGTGTGTTGTTCTGGGCGGGTGATGTTATTGATAATGCGTCGTAGTGTAAATTTTGGTCAAACTTATAGTATTTTGGACGAATCAACGACGCGCATCAGCCAAACACACACATCTCATTTCAAAGTATTGTTCTAGTTATATCATTTGGTCACATTTCGAATTGACTTGAAAGGAAATTTGAAAATTGTGCATTTTCCATAAGAAGGTTTTTTTTCTGTTGAAAAAAAAAATTGACAATTTTACATCCATGACTGAAATTCGTTCTCTTCTTTACAAAAAAAAGGTATGCTCTTTTTTCCTCCTGGACCGAATGACTGAGAAAATTTAAAACAAAACGTTCAATTTTCCACATGACCAGTCGTTGACTGACTGCATGGATGTTGAGATCATAATTGTCTGCTAGGATTTTGCAAACTTTGGCAAAATTCGTCAAATAAAATTCATTCCTAATTTGCTCTGTAGGGTCAACAGTGTCATAGGGAAGCTAAAATATCGTGCATTTAGATAGTTGTGACTAAATCGATATTCGTTTGTTGTCTTTCATTCGAAAAAATTATCTGTTCCCACTGAGTAGGAGCTACTCTTTGCGTTGTACAATTGCTTTATGAATAATATTTGTTTACTAAAATGCATCGAGGTTGTGATGCGATTGTTTTGGTGAGTATTAATGACTCACGAGCTTGAAACTTCGCTCAAAACGGTGTAACAAAACTAATGATATATACATATTTGTTTTAAAAACGAAAATTTCGTCCATTGAAATGTTTAAAATTCAAGGCTAATGCCCGCTTGATGTGGCACCATTTCCTTTGCTTAAAATTTCTCACATTTGAATTACTGGCGCTTGGGTGATGTATATATTAGTTGAGGAATGACATGTCTTTTTTTTACCCGTTTTGTTTCTGTCTGAGATTCCAGAGAAGTTGCTCCCATGAAATGTCATAGTAAAAAGTAACTTTAATTCAAAAGCTTTGGACAATGTTAGTTGTTGTGTGTTCAGTGTCCATTTCGATTGAAAATGGGTTGAAATTTATGGAAACAGCCAGTTTTGTTTTTTTTTCTCTAAGAAAAATTCTCTTCTAAATGGATCAAATTGTGCCTAGTACCCGTATTTTTTTATGAGTTTTTTTTTTTCATTTCTTCTTTCCTCCTCTTTTCTTCTCTCTTCTTCCATATTTTCTCTTCATTTTTATGAATGAAATGTTTGATCATGAATGAATCATTTTCAAAATGTTTACTTCTGCTCGGAGAGTTCATTCTCCTGGGCCAAATAGCTGAGAACAGATCGATTGGTCGAAAATGTATTTGTTAAATCACCTCAAAAATTGTGTACAGAACAAAACTGCTGGCTGCAGCACGACGTTTTTTTTTTTTGCAGCAGAAAGACAAATTTATAAAATTGACATCGTTTCGTGCGGCTGTCGTGCAGTTTTGTTGGTATTTTTTGACAAATATTTCAGGAAAATCTTATTGTTCTAAGGATTTTTTCGATTTTTGGTAAAATTTCTTTGATTCGATAGAAAAATGTGCTCTAATTGTCCAGTATTTTTTCTTTGCTTTTGCGTAATTTGTTTTTTTTTTACTTTAGTGGTCGCAAGGGGGATAGCAGTAATCTAGTACTGCATTCAATGCCGATTCAATGCCAATTCAATGCCAATTCAATGCCACTAAATTCAAAACAATGCTATTCACTGCAATCCGCTGCTGTCATCGATTGATGTACTAGATTACTGTTCTGACAGGAGTCGATTGCAGTGAATAGCATTAATTTGAATTTAGTGGAATTAAATCGGCATTGAATCAGCATTGAATCAGCATTGAATGCAGTACTAGATCACTGTTTTCCCCTTGAGTGGTCGGTACCAATGACAATGGCTACAATAATTTTTGATTGGTTTGCATTTAGAATCTCTAAAATTACACACAAATATATAAATGTTACAGTAAATCGGAGAATGTGTTCAGTATTCCGTCATTGGTCGAATCGCACCATCACATTTAACATCTCATACATAGAAAAAAGGTACAGCAGTGCGCACAATGGTGTGTCCGATTGAAAAATTGTGTTTGATTTTTGCTTCCGACATCAAGTTTAACAATTTTGACATTAACACAATCAACGATGGGACACACGAATTGATCAAAGAACACTTTCCGGATTATGGTTATTTTCCATCTTGGTTATATGTACAAAAATTGAGTGTGGATTTGATTGTAATTGCGAGATTTGTGTGTTTATGTGTGTATTTTTTGGTTGGTGAATTCGCAATGACCAATGTTTTCTGTTTTAACGCAGACGATTGGTTCTTTTTTATTCGTTTTTTTTTTGTTTGCAGAAGAGGATGCACATTTTGAAACATCATGTGAATGTGTGTGTACGTGTGCCCCATATTGCATTGCTCAACATAAATTTTTGTTTTTTGTTGATTCTCTCTCTCATCATTCTCTGTCTGTCTTTCTCTGTCTCTCTCTCTCTCTCTTTCTCTTTGACTCAGAGTACACAAGTTGTGTGAGTTTGGGAGGAATGTTTGTACGCTTCGTTTAATTTACATAAATTGTGGACCACCACATTTTAATAATTTGTAAGTCAGATTCCGGAAATCTGAAAACGAACGATATCGATTTTTCTTCATTTAGCTGTATGTTTTTGTTGCAAACTATGCAATTTTATGTGATTTATTTGTTTTGATTTGGATTGATTTCATTTAATTTAGATATGATATTCTAGTTTCTGGTGGGTGTTTGAACGAAAAAAAAAACCGACGAAATGAAAAAAAAGTGAACGCAAAATTTGGCAAAGAATGTAAAATAAAGAAAAACCAGAAAATAAACCAAACGAATGAAAACGAATTGAAACCAAAATAAAACACAAAAAAGTACACACACAATGAATAATAGATGATTTTCCCTTGAGTAAATTTCAAAAATGGCAGAAATGTTTGTTTTCTTCTTCAGCTCATCGAAAATAATGCAACCAAAATTTGAGAACTAAAGAAACAGAACGAAAAAAATAAAACACGAACGAACAAACAGATCATATCGATTGCTTTCTTAAATAAACATTTAGCGTGTCAAGCGAATTTTCGTTCATTCTCCCTTTCTCTCTCTCTCTCTTTCTCTCGATCTCCCTGAATGCAAATACATTCAAATATTGTTTGCTTAATAAAATTGTTTCGAAAAATTGTCATTGCAAAAATGAAGAAAACACACACAGCTTTGAGAGAAAGAGAGAGAGAGAGTGAAAACAGAGATAAAGCCACGTTCACAATGTTCTTCTTTGTCAATGGCAAGTAGGGAGAGGACGCATGGCGAAAGGCATAAAGAGACACATTTATTGAAGAAAGCAACGTTCTGTACGTTCACGAAAAATAGAAAAAGAATTAATTATGTCGCTTGAAGGAAATCAACATCAACAACAACGAACCAACGAAAAAAAATACACAATTTTTTTGTCTATTAAAAAAAAAGATAAAACAGAAACAACAACAACGATGACGACGACAACGACGACGACGAAATGATTAAAAATTGAGACGAAAAAATGGAGTGAAAATCGGAAAAACATGGCAACGAAAAGTCGGGAAAGAACACAAATATTGACATTTGTTCAAGAGAAAGAAACAAAACATAAAAAATGAAAACCAAATCGCTTTGGAACAACAGAAATGAACACTGTTTCATATTTTGCAGTCTAACAAAATCGAAACGAGAGTGATGATACATTTTTCTTTGGATTTTGTTTTTGCTGTTGCTGTTATAATTGGTTTTTATCATGTGTAATTTGGTTTTGTATGCTTGAAAAGAAAATTTTTTCGCATTGATTATTTGTATATATATAATGAGCATTCACAACTGAATCGTGTCGATATATGCATTTTTTGTGTTAGAGATTTATTTATATTTAGTTGTTCGAAAAGAAAAAAAAATAGAGAACATAGAGACAGAATTGGAATAGAGCGATGAAATGAGTGATTTGTCGCATGTTTCTGATTTTCGAATCGGTAAATAAATGATGGAATAGAAAAAAAAATTGAGTCTAGTAGAAGAACAATAGATGCGAAAAGCAAACATTCAAAAAAAAACAATCGATGTAAAATGTGATTGCATTTGCGGTCACGTTCTGAATGTTTGATTTTCCGTTTTGGGCTTTTTCACGGTTAACGACAGAAAAACACACAAGACGAGAAAAAAAATGATGAAGAAAAATGAATTCAACACGAAAACCGAAAAAAAAATGAAATGGCAACAGTAAAATTGCATCAACAATTGAAAATCACACATACACACGAAATGATGACACAAATGATTTACACTGATTTTTAAAATATGCACACACAATGAGAGAGAACATTTAACACGGTGTGGGAAAATATGGACAGCTTTTTTCTCTCTATGTCTCTGTCTCAATCTCTCTTTCTCTACTTTTCCCTGTCATGAAAAAGAAACGCCTGATTACATCAGCTCCATAAATTATAAGCTTCAGTGCTCGGCTGGTACTTGTTCAATGATTAGCATAATTACATACACACTTTTAGCGTTTCAGCAAGCGTTTCTCTGTATCCAGATTAAGTGGCTGCTTTTTTCGCTCTATTCAACCGTTTTGTTTTCTTCAACGGCAGAAAATCAGGTGGTTCTAATGTAATGCGAAAATAAGAATTCACTCAATTGACAGAAAAAAAAAACGCTTTGTGATGCAGTTGATTGGAGTGTGAATTTCGCAAATTGTACCGATTTGCGAATAAATTAGCAGACAGACTATGGAACAGGAAATGGAATTGTGTGGGAAAAGACAGATTTTGTTCATAAAAATAGTTTCAATTTTTTTTTTGTGCTGCTATGAAATATTGATATTGTGCTAAAAGAGAGACAACGGTGTGCGGTGAATTGTTCTAGGTTCACATATAATTTTTTTCTTCTTCCCTTGTCGATTTGCATGTTTAAAAATGCGCAATTCAAACAAAGAGCACGAAATAATTAGTAGAAAAAATGAGTAAAACGGATCCTTGGATGAAAATCCGATTAGATGTGAGAGTATTGAATGCGCATGGTGCACCATATCGTGCCAACCGCTCTCTTTCTCTGTATGTGTCTTGTGTTTTGCCGTAGAAAAGTGTTTTTTATTTTGAAAAAAAAAGCGTTTCGTTGTACCTATTATTATCGCTTTCTCTGGATTGAAATTAAAAAGTTTATCCTTTGTAATTCAAATGCGAACTTTTAAATGAAAAGTTGTCTCGACTCGACAAGTACGTATTGTCGGAAGGGGTGAAGGTTTAGAAAGAACGTGTGCGCTTTAAATTTTCAGTCTAAATGCCACCGAAATTCTAATGGCATCGCACACACAATAATTTCATAAATATAACAATCAAATCAAATGTTTGATTTTTATGCCCGATTTTTTCAACGAAAGTTTCTTCTTGGTGCCAGTTCTTCCTTACACACTCTCTTTCTTTTTCTTCTTCTCTTTCTCTATCGTTTTATTTCTCTTTCTTCCTTACTCTCTTTCTGTCGCTCCATCTTTTGCTTCTCGAAAGCTGAGCGAACGAGATGTGATCGCATGTGCAGGACTGTCAAAGAATGTGTCACCGAAAAGAGAAAATGAAAATCAAACTATTTTATGCAAATCGTGCTAAACCGAAGCGATTCGGGAACGAAGAGCGCGCACACACATACAGACGCACAACCGACATTCGAACACATATTGTGTATCAAGTTTTATAAGCCATTCAGATATATGAAACGTGACCTTAAAAGTCAATTTTTGCAATTGTTTGATCAATAAAAACGAGAATGTGGTGCGGGCGTCCGGAGAGGGTGCAGAGAAAGCGTTCCCCAACAAAATGCTCTTGACTTGTGTATATTTCCGATAATTCGCTCTTTCCATCGCTCGCGCATTTTATTCACAACTCAACATTTCTATTATTCATCGAGTTAGTTGCTGTCATTTTTCGTGTTTTTTTTTTTCGCAATTCAGTCGATTCTTCTTCGTCGCGTGAATTTCACCACAAAAATCCAGTCAATTTTCAATGGGAAATAGTTTCTGTATTTGATTTTCATGAGATTTTTCCCGAAAACCATTTTATTCACTTATAAATCACTTATGTTGTGTGTGTAAATGGCAACCAAGCCATACATCATCGATTTATATAAACATTTTTCCTGCCGCGATATGTTCCACCGCACTTGTACATTATTCGGTCCAATTTAGCGAAAGAGAAAGAAGAAAAAAACAAGAGCGGAAAAGAGAGAGAGAGAGAGAGAGACGTCGAAGAATGGGAATATGCTATTTTGCAATCGATGCGAATTGGGGCTATGAAAAGCTCTCAATGCGAATAAATTGTCGATTTAATGCATTCATGATTTGTGTGTTCGGTGTGTCTGCAAATTGGTTGTGTGTATGTGTGTGCGGGCACACAATGGAAAACGGTTTCGAAACAGCCCATGATGTGTTGGGCAGGGGAGGAGGCATTTACCGAAAATGGGAATTTGTAGTTGGTACAACACATAATTTGCAGCACACTTATTTTAGCACAGAATGCGAATGAGATGGGGGAGAGAGAGCGAGAGAAAAATTGCCGAAAATCCAATGCAAAATATATATTAGCGATTGTGAAATTTATTGGTAATATCATGAACTGAGTTCAATTGTGAACACACAGCACACGAGCAATTGTTTCGGTTGTGCTGGCGGCGCGAGAGCCTTCCACCCATTTATTATTATTCGCTCGAATAGAATTTCCCCGGATGGCTGGTGTACGGTGATTAAAAAAAAAACGAACGAAGAAGGCGAAGAGAACGGAAAAAAGATGCCGATAAAATATCTATAAAAATGCGGCTGGTGTGTGGCTGAAGAAAGAGCAATGGAAGGCACACGTGCATATATATGATTTTTTGATTGTTCCATTTCCAATTGGATTTTCCTTTCCTGTCGCCGGGCTCTTAGAGTGAGATTTGTGTGGCAATCGTTGTGCGACGCTGGAATGTGCTTTTCATTAAAACGAATTAATCGATTAAAAAGACGTGGCAATATTTTCGATACGGTTCTCTCGATAAAAATAGGTCGGAAATAGCTTATGGCCATATTTTCAACATAAATCACTAATGCATGAGGGAGAGAGGCTGCGCGCTCGTCTCAACATATCTTATTACAGAGATAGAGACGATCGGCTGAAACAACCACAACTAAACCGAAATCTTATTTGTAAAACGCGAGTTTAAATATTAGCTAAAGCCTGTTGTGTGTATGTGGCATGTTTCCACTTTTCCATCCCCTCCCCACTACCACATCTCTAACACCTAAGATTCTTCACACCGCGCCAACATTAACGAGATATTTATTTTCGCTGTGACGCCACTGCCACCACGCTCATTACCTTCGCATACATAATCGAATTAGTGTGTAAACTTCATTGTTTAATCGAATCATTCGAAATAGCTAATACAACAAAAGAAACTATGGGAAGGACAACAGAGTAATAGCAAAAAAAAAACAACGGTTCACACACATACATTAAAAAAGGCAACGTTTTATTAACGACGTTGCGCATCAGCCACGGAAAAACAATTTGTCCATCAGAGACAGATGAAAAAAAAACGGACAGTGAGCTGAATGCGGCAACGTTGTTGAGAGTGCCATCCGAAATTAGTCATGATTTTAGTTGATTAATTACTATCGCCTCGGCTCAATCATTGCGGATTTAAAACACATTGCAAGAAATTAAGACAATAAATAAGAAATACAACTGGTTTCTAGATAAAATTTAGCGATTTGTACTCATTAGAATATTCATTGGAGAGAAAAAAATGTAAGATACTCAATTGACTTCATGGTAATTAGACAATTATGTGACACCGAATGTCACTCAAAGACCTAAAATAACACATGGAAATTGGACGAATAATCGGAGAATTTGCTTGATTAAGATATGAATCAACGCTTTTTCTCTCTCTCTCTCTCTCTCTCTCTCTCTCTCTCTCTCTCCAGTTTTTTTTGTTATCCAATTCAATCGTAGTAATTTCTTTAATTATCAAATTCACGAACAACGACTTATGGATAACCATAATCGTATCATTATCGAGTGAAACGTTTTCTGCCGTTTTTTTGCTAGTTTTTGTTTTAGTGTAATGAGTTTGTATATTTGTTTGTAAATTCAATACTAAAATGTCTTAATTCAATTCTGTTGATGATTAAAACCACCAACGTGAACCGCTTCTTGTGTGTATCACAAAATACAGTCGTCACACTGAGGGTGGGAAATGCATGAATCTTGGGCAATTGAGCGCAAGATGTTTGGTGTTTTTTTTTCTATTTTACAATTTCTATACAATGTTTCCATCAAAATAAGGGGGATGGACAATTGTTTACACACAGCACAACAAAACATCGAGAATGTAACAAAAAAAAGGAAACGTTAGATAATTTAATGGTGAAACGAGTGCATTTTCGGTTGATGAAGAGGAGACAGGAGGCAGAACATTTGAATAAAGAAACAAAGAAAATTTTGTACAAAAAAAGGTCAACTAAAAGCGATGTGAAAGAAATAAACAAAACACACACACATATAATTACGAATGAGTTTTTCAAAATGTTGTGTCTAGATGATGATTAGGGTATATCCAAAAGCGATTCAATTTTTGACACGGGCGTTAGAGTTGGTTTTGGTCGATTATTCTTTATTTTCATCTCTTTTGGGGGAATATTTTTTTTTTAAATACTAAGGTTTCGAAATCAAAACAAGTTCAAAAAGAACGGTGCAATATCAAATGAACAACAATCGAAGAGGGTGGATGGAACAGGGTTTATTTTGAGGTAAAATAATTAAAAGAGCAAAAACGTAAATGGAAGAATGTGATGGTTCAGTGCGTAGGTGAGTGTGTGTGTGTGTAGGCGAAACAATGAAGAAACTCAAATTCATTAACAACAGACGATGAGACGAACCAGTTGAATTCGTTTATTTTAAACAAGAACACAAAAAACCTGATTATTTCACGGATTTCAATTTCCGCGAAATTCAAATTTCATGGCCAACAATGAAGAGTATTTCTGGCGTTTTCTCTATCTGTTGTTCATGCAGCTTACTTCACTGAAGCCATTTTCCATCGCATGCTTCCATCAAATATTTATGGTGTGTTTTTTTTTTCGTTTGTTTTGCATTTAGGAACGGATTGAATGGAAATTAGACCAACTCAAAAATACCAACCAAAGTTTTATTCTCTTCTTACTTGATTTTTTTGTTGTTCGTTTTAATAATGGAATGGAAACCAACGGAAACTTAAAATTAAGGAAATTATAGTACGAAAACCATTAAATTTAACCGAAGAACAACAAAGAATATTTAAAAAAAAAAACTGAACGAAAATATAATTGGAAAGAGCAAATAATTCAAGCGGTATGCTTGTGAATGGAAATATACCATCAATTTGAAACGATAAAATTTAATGCTGAAGAAAAAAATACGCTCGCAAAAATTAAAACGCAACAAATAAATCATACGTTACTCAAAGTGAAATGAAGGAAAATGGCAACTTAAGACCAAACATATTTTCAACGCTCAACTTTGAATTCCAATACCGAAGTATGAGTATTGAGCAAATGAGGATTTTCTTTTTCTGGAAGAAAACTTTATACCAAACTTTCATAATCATCGAATTAAAGTTTAGACATTTATGGGAAAATTCGTTGAATTTTAATTTGAACACAATTTTGTTTTCTCAAATTATGACGTTCCATCGCATATCGGAAATCACGTATGACTTTGTGTGGAATTCAAAACTAGCGTTGTATAAAATTGAGATCCTCGTCCTTGATTAAGTTGAATCAAAAATCAAACGACTCATATTGAACGGAAGAGAAACAAAAACGAAAGAAAAAAAACTTAAATCGAATGACCACTAGTGACCAATGAATGTGTATTGAGGTTGAGCACGGGCTAACGTCACGATCAAATCCATTGAAGATGCAACTTTGAACAATTAATTCTGACTGTGATAATATACGCCACCCTAGATCAAGATCATTTGGGTGATTTCATTCGTTTTGTTACTTGGTTTGCGGATCCAACAAATCCAATTCCAAAGTTTCATCGCATCAAGACTTGATCGTAACGCCGTTCAAACCCCGCACCACCGAGATGTAGATAGATGACATTTTTCGTCTTACCTTCGTAATTAACTTGACCGTCACCGTCGATATCAGCCTCACGGATCATTTCGTCGACTTCTTCGTCTGTTAACTTTTCACCCAAATTCGTCATGACGTGACGCAATTCAGCAGCCGAAATAAAACCGTTACCATCCTTATCGAACACTCGGAAAGCTTCTCGGATTTCTTCTTCGCTATCCGTGTCTTTCATTTTACGAGCCATCATCGTTAAGAATTCGGGGAAATCAATCGTTCCGTTACCTAAAACATGGAAATTCGGTGAAGAGAAGAGAGAAGAAAAAAACAAACACATTCGATTGAAATTGGACATTTTCTTGTTGTATATGTATGTATAAAAAAATCGATTATTTGTGGGTGGTTTTTGGCATAAATTTTTGTATCGATGGCAAATTTTTAATCCGATTATGAATTTTGGGTCGTTAGATGATGTTGAATTGTAGGGGCGATTTTTGTTTTTATGAGACCTTATCTTATGAGAGATAATGGAAAATTATAATCGCACATCAATAAAAAAAAAAGTCAAACGCAGTGAGAGAAAGTAAGTTGAAGAAGAAAAAAATCAATCAAACTTATGCACAGGGTCGTTTGGTTTCGAGGTCGCCGCTAAATTAGATTAAAAAACCCGAAAAAAATTGTAAAATAGCGCATAGCGCTTGAAAATTCATAACGATCGTATGAGTGGCAAAACCATTTTCTCTGCCCCATACAACACACTTGAATCATTAGTTTTGCATATTAGAATGTTTCGTGTTCAGCTTATTTATTACTCGTTAATAATTCGGGCGATTAGAAAAACACGCTTCACACAAGTATTTGCAGTTCTTTGTTTTTTTTTACTCTTTCGCTTGCTCCTTCTTTTCCTTTCTCTCTCTCGCTCGCTCTCTCTCTCTCTCTCTCTCTCTCTTTCTGGGTCGCTCTGTCTTTCTCCGTCGCTCTCACTCGCTCATTATCCTCCATTTGGCTATCGCTGATTACTCACACCAAACATATTACAAACACATTGAGTGTGGCGGAGGCGACGGCAGCTGCCGATGATTGTATACAAAATTCATGCGAACCGATAACCGTAAAAATTTATCACAATGTGTTCGAACCGAATAAGAGAGCAAAAATGTATGGCATTTTGTTTCTGTTTTTATTTTAGAGAACGAATCTATCGTCATTATTGTTCCAAAATATTCCAGAGAGAATTATTCAGCCTTTAAATGGTGTGCGCACACACAAACAACATCATCACCAGCGGAAAAAAATAAATAAATAAATATATGCGAAGATGTTATTCGCGTGAGTATCGGTTCTTAGGCCGCAATATGGTTGGAATGATTGTGTTTGGTCTCTGGGCAGCCGCTCTTTTTTCTCTCTATCTTATTCTCTTGCTCTTGCCTTCTCACAAGTTTTCATTGCTGTTGCCGCAATCATTAGAAACGTTACGTTAATTGCTTCGTTTCATTTTTTTTCCGTTGTTGCTGTGATTTTGTTCGGTTTGTTTATGCAGTACAATTGACGTCACATAGCGCACACACATCACAATGTGTCATTCATGTTTCATTGGATTTTAGCATTTATTTGGCTGCTGATTATTTCGCTATCTCTTCGCTTTTGCCATATTGTGTGCACGCTCACGTCGTAACTATTTTCATCGAAAACAACAAAAAAACAAAATATTTCCGATTCGTAATTTAATTATGGATAAGGAGAAGAAGAAGAAACAAATGAACGGGGAAAAAATAGTGGCCCCGGATTGTTCGTATATTCAGCGATTACTTCAAATTCATGGAAACCGTGTGAATAAGATGCAATGATGATTTTCGGTGGTTTATTTTTAGGGTAGCTAAATTTATACAATCAACAGGACATGAAGTCTCGATTTCTCTCTCTCTCTCTCTCTCTCTCTTGACCGTACAATTTCGTTTCGACGAGTATTGCTACACACACACTCAACGACAACATCGAAATGAAATGAAAAGGAACCGAAAACCGCGCAGCAAATTACCATTACATTACTGTTCTAGCCAATCAGTTGTTTACGTTTTGTAATGGTAACGCGCCGACATATATGTGTATATATGTGAAAAGTGATTACGAGCGTGAGCACAAATCTAATTCATTGTGTTGCCGTATGTGCTGAAAACGCCAGGGAATCTCCTCACCCGTTTTTTTTGTCTTCGCTTCTTTCAAATCCTTCTTCGTTTTACTTGGGCTGGTTGTTGTTGTTATTTGTGTGCTTTGTTGAAGTGTTAGCTTTTTTTCATTTCGAGAAGTAGAAAAAAAAACCACAAAAAAGAGAAGTAACCCATAATGGGATTGTGGCGTTTATAATGTTCCCTGGACATGGAATCGCATGTTAGCTGGTCATATATATTTCGGATTGCGTGTGTTCTACAAACACATACACACACTCACTCTGATTTGAACTGTGGTGCGACGGGGGCGTTGTTTATGTCCTCTATTTAATCATATCTTTTGTAGTTTTGGGTTTTTGGGGACGCAAAACAAAAAGAGAATCACTATTTCGTACCCAATTATTCAAAATACATGTCCGATAAAGTAAAAAGAAGAAGAAGAAGAAGAAGAGGAACGAACAAACGAACGAAATTGTCGCTTTAAACGATTTTCAACATGCGAATCCATTAAAACGAAGACAAAGCCGCATATACCAAAATCCGAAAAAGAATGCTTCGAATTGACTCGCTATTTTTCAGGGAAATTAACAATTTGAGTGAGTAAGCAAGAGAGTCTTTATTGCCTCAAAACAAATCGATAAACATATGTTTTAAATTTTTGAAATGCCGTTTCTTTGTTCACACCGGAACATTCCGTATCGACCGAAAAAAAAGAACCAACAATCGAAAACATATACACCCATAAGCACTGGCAAACGAGCTGCACACATTCCATTATCCAAACACTATTCTTTTTCTCTCCTGTGCATACGTTTTAATCAAACGGGAAAACCTTTTGTTGCCCGCTTTAATAATCGATTGAAAGTGGCCGGCAGCATAAGCGAGCATAACATAAAAAATGTTTTGTTGTATTCTTTTGGTTTTTTTTTTCTCCTGCTTCTTGGTGTATGTGTGTTTCTCTTTGTTCCGCTTGAAGCTATGATTTGAAAATGAGGCCTTGATTTATTCCACTCATTTTCTGTAGACATGGCTAATGAGGAGCCCATGTGAATCGAATACAGAATACTCATGCGAATCCTGCCATTTGATGAGAGCCACACAGCCGCATGTGCAACAGCAACAACAACAACCACAAAAGAAAGAGCTGAAATTATTACAAATGGCAACTGAGTAACAACACACTTGCCTGCCACCGGCTTGAAATATTAAATCTCGTTTATTATTGAAATATTCATCAAAATTGAAAAATTGCTTAATTTCAGTCGGTGTATCGCGTTTTTAGTCCCTTGATTCCATCGATTATGAAAATCACGCCATCGGATTTTCCTTAAATTGAATGCGAGCGCGAACCAACCAACGGCCGAATAAACGGTCGCGAGCGAGAACAAAACAGCCTTAAATATCGATTGGCTTCAATTACATATGAAAGGAATTAAAAATAAAACGATGATTGAGAGCAGCTACTTCCTATGTGATACACGCGTGCGAGCAGACACTACTGTCTACCACACCCGTCACCTCTGAGTCCTTTTTTGTTGTTCATGTGAGTGAGCTTCAGCATATTTTCACTCTGGCTGTTTTTTTTCTTTATTAATAACCACCTCCGAACACAAGAACCACAACACCAAATCCATTTAAATGACTAGATAAAAAAAAGGGGTGCTGTCGATTTTTCAATCGCCCCATATATCTCTTAATGTTGCCGTTAAATGGATCGATGCGTGCGGGTGCGGGTGTGTTTGTGCATGTGTTACCAAAACGGAAATCAATATTCATGCCATCAAGATTGACATATTTATCGATATTCTCACTTACCGTCAGCATCGACTTCATTTATCATGTCTTGCAGCTCAGCTTCTGTTGGATTTTGGCCTAGTGATCGCATTACTGTGCCCAATTCTTTTGTTGTGATGGTGCCATCGCCATCCTTGTCGAACAGTGAGAAAGCTTCTTTGAATTCAGCAATTTGTTCTTCTGTTAATTGGTCAGCCTGTGAGGGGGGGAGAAACGAACCAAATCAGAATGAATTGATTAGTCTTCTGGAGCAAAACCGAAAAGAATGTGAATAAGTAAAAGGGTATAAAAAAAAAGTTTTGTGTAGAAGGCAGTAAAACGTAGCAAAAAAAAACAACAACGTTTCTCTAATTCCATATGAGACCCTTGTCTCATCATGGTACAAGAATGTTCGCTCTTTTTTTTAAATATGCACGCGCGCGTGTGTGTGTGTGTGTGATTTACGACAAAGCGTGATATCGCCCAAATAACTGCTAAAAAAACTTTTTGTCACTTATGTGATTCACTCCATTGGAGATGTCACTACCGAAAGAAAACTCGCATTTTGATTGCTTTGCATGCGATCGTAAAAAAAAAATTTCTCTTCCTTTCGTTCCCTTTGTTCGCCGCTGCTGTTGCTGCTCCTTTTTTGTGTGTGTATTAAATCATCAAACAAAAGCTGGGAGTTTTTTCCTTTCTACTTTTCACATTTCACGAATTGCATGTTAACACATAATCACCATTTGTGATTATCGCACATACAATTTGACTCGTTTGAAAATTGATGACTTTGATTTCAGAGTGCGATGGTAATTTTCAGTTTTTTCATGCCGAATTGTGAATAAAATAGACAGAATAGGGAGTGTGAGTGAAGAGAATGATGGAATCGGGTGCGAATGTTTGGGATTTATTTTCATTGTTCATTGTTATTGAAAGTAGAGGAAGGAAAAAATCGGTAACAGAACATCCGAAATGGTTTTCGAAACAGTAACACAGCAGTTGATTTGTTTGACTTACGAGGTCATCCAGTTTGTTTTTAAATTATTCAAAAGCTTCCCTTGTGAGCGCGTTTTTGTTTCAATAATCAAACATAAAAATTCATTGCAATGGCAATAAACAACAACAATAATAAAAATAAAAATAAAACAATTATTTTGTGTGTGTGTTTTTTTCCCTTCTCTTTCGTTATGACGAGCATTTGTTTGGTTTCTCGATTGAATGAGTTCGTTTTTTTTTCTCCAAAACGCGTCCAATCAAAAAAATGAACAACGTTTTGAATTCACTGATTTCGATTTGTTCGCTCGCATTGGCATTGTTCATGTTCACAAAATATCCCTGTGCGCCATATTAACCGACCGAGAAAATGCCAAACAAAGAAGAACGTGTGAGGTGTGCGATTCACGAAAAAAAAAGTCCTCGCTACCAGAGAGATTTCGGCAAACTTGCGTCAGAACCTTCGACAGCTAAAGAATGCTATACACATACGCGTTTGTTCAGTGCCAGTGCGAACAAAAAAATATGAGTTTCTTTTGGAAAAAGGACCTTCACCTCCATTCATTTGCTCCCTCTCCCACATCTATGCAAGTGGATTCGGCACTTTGAATCCAAATAACCTTCATGCGACCTCATTTAAATGTGTGTGTGTGAGAGAGAGAGAGAGAAAAAAAACATACATAAAATTGAGAAAAAAAAGACCTCAGCTACCACCACAACATTCAGGCTACTTTATCTAAATGCCGTCGTCAATGGTGGCAGCTATAGTGATTCAAATCATATGAATTGTTGTTGAATATTTACAACACACATTCAACATATGAACTGAGAATAAGAGAAAGAGCGGAGAGAATTAAAATTATTGATTCGATAGGGAGGGGGGAGGGGGAAGCGCGTATTGAAAATGTCGATTACATGTCAATGACGAGCACATAATATATGTATTTCATTTTACGTTGAATCGTTCATCGAATTCTCCGAATTGATTCGATAGAAATGAATAAAAAAAGGGAAACAACGACACCGAACTGGAAAAAAACAATCGATTTTTCTTCTAAAGCACTTTTACAATTTTTCTTCTCTTCTCTCCAATGTTGTGTTCGTTCACGAGCTCATCGTGTTCGAGCAAACACGCAAACAAATGGTTGGACAGAGACGGGGGGGAGAGAGAGAGAGACAGAGACAGAGATGGAAGAAAGCCAATCAAATCCCTGATCAACGAGAATAGCTAACGCCATGATAAGCAAGGAGAAATGGACAATGTAACAAATCATTTACAATTCGATCATGTTTTATAGTTGACAAGCAATTCATTTGCTTGTTGCAAAGTTATTGATGCGACATCCGAATATATGTCTGAAAGTCGCCATCAATTTGATTGGCAAAGGTGACGAGAACAGAAATTTATTAACATGTTTTTTTTTGTTCGTTTTGTTTTTGCATCATCTTCTCTGTGTCTCCACTGTTTTTCACACTTTCTCACTCGTTTTCTCTCTCTCTCTCTCTCTCTCTCTCTCTCGTTAGAAAGCAAATGCGACAACGATGAAAATTGTTGTTGAATCGGAGCCACGTGTTTTTTTCTTTCTCTCTCTCTCTCTCATCGATTTCAAAGAAAGCGGGTAATTTCGATTGATTAATTTTTTTTTCATAGGCTATCCTTTTGAAGTGATTTGATTTTGTCCTTGCCTCCAAATGAATTTCTCTTCCCCGAATTCTCGTCTGTAGCAAATGGGATAATTTAGTAATTGCACCAAAGGCATTCCCTCAATTAGTCTCGCTTATATAGATTGCCAACGGCACATATACAAACACAAACGGCAGCAGCTTCAGAGGCTCATGAGATTTAAGGTGAATAATAAACATAAACACGATCGATCAAACGAAATTGGTTGCATTTTAATTAAGGCAGCAAATGGACCAAATTATCAACGGTATCGAAACACATTCGTTTGCTGTCGCTCAGCGGGGCAAGTTGTTAATTTCCTATAATATTCTAATGAAAGGCTTCGGAAATGAAATGTTTGTGTGTGTGTGTGTGTTGCGTTGCGTTTGTATACAAAAGATTTTCGTCTCGCTCTCGCCCTCTCTCTCTCTCTCTCTGACTTTCTCTGAGCCAGAGCGAAAATTATCACAAACCAAATTTAATTACGATACACGATTTCCAATGTTTAACGGAAATAATTGATTCGGTTACAATGTCAAAGAAAAATGGCAAGTTGTTTGATCGATGGCGGGTGACGGACGGCTGTTGTGTGTTTTTGCAATGAAACACTGTAGCACTACAGATCAATCCGGTAAACAATCTGCCATTTATCACTTTGTAATAGAGAAGAGAGCAAGCGACACTGCAATCGATATGGAATTATGGAAATCAGCCCTGATTTTTTTGCGTGTGGTTAACGTGCGGTGTATGGAAACATGAGACAAAGCGAACTATTGCCTGCATAATCTGTTGTTGGTGTGTTTTTTTTTCTCGTTTTCATTTATCGCCCATCAACACAATGCGCGAGTATGGAGAGATATCGAATGGCGACACCAACTCAAAATCATAGCCGACTGAAATGTGATTTTGCTAGTTTTCATCGCACTTCGAGCGCGCAAATACCATTCAGATCGAAAACTCTTTAAGCGATTTAGATTTGCTCTACTATTCCGCAAATGGAAATCAAATGAGTTGAACAAATGTAAAGGGAACGAAATTGAAAAAAAAAGGCCGACAACGACGACCAAGAAGAAGAAGAAGAAGAAGAAGAAGAAAAACACACATACGGAAAGAGTGTGGAACATGTGTTTGCATTCCCATTTTTATACGAAGTATAAATTTTAATGGGCACATGCCCACATATCCTGAAATAGTCGATTTCAGTGTTGTTGTTGCTGTTGCTGTTTTTTTTTCCTCTGTTGTAATCATAACTTTTTAATTACCACATTTCATCTAACGGGCTCGCAACCATGAGCAATCGTTTTGCTGCTGCAGCAGCAATCATTTATGTGGACATGTAAATGCAACCATTTGACGTTGAAATTGATGTAATTTACGCCAATGTTGTTTGGTTATATATATATATATATATATTTCTCATTTGGCCCTCTGTCGCCAGTGATGTTGATGCCGTACGTCGTGTGCGCGCGAGCGCCATCATTTCGTTGTTGTTTTTCTTTCGTTCAATCGTTGAAATTCCATTTAACGAAAATTTCTCATTCAGTCCAATTGTGTGATGAATGACAGAAAAGTGGCTGGGGCATATTAGCGGGCTGAGCCACACGGCACAACGCACGTTTTGTCAATATTAATTCACAACGATATGCATTTTATGCATATATTTTCGATTGAAAGTAGCGTTGATTGGATTAATAGCGGTCATACGGACAACACAAATGCGTTTGTGTTTCGCTCACACACTCTCCGCTCACGGAAATTATAAATGGCTTTCAATTACATTTTTATTAAAAGACATCAAAATCATTTTCAATTGATTTTGATCGGCGCTACAATTCGATTAATTTTTTTTTTTAGTTCGTGTTGTGTTTTGTTTTTGGAATGATCACACATACACACGAGGCGGAGAGAAGGGCGAGCATGGGAAATAATTTTTTTTCTTTGAAGCGAAACGTAATCATACACATATATTTTGTTTCGTTGAATTAAGCAATTGGACATTAAGTAAACAATTTGTCTGATTTTATTTGTGAAAACCAATTAAAAAGCATTTGTTAAATGATTTTCCAAACAAAACACGAAAAGAAGAAAAAAGAAGAGAAAAAAAACAACAACAAATCTATTGGCTTCAAATTGGTTGTAATTTATTGTGTGTATATTTATTTTTGTTGACCAAAATCATCGCGTATAGTTTCCTTGCGAACGAAATTGGAATTCTGTTTCATCCATTTCGATGCGATGCTTTTTCGCTATACACTCCTTCCAACTGAACACCTAAATAGGTTGCAAACACGCCAATATGGCAACAGTATTGCGCAATTCGTAGCAGAGCACAACAGCAGCAGCAGCAGCAGCAGCAACAACAACGGCAGCAGCAGCTCATATCGAGGCAGCAATGCAACATGACTACAATAACAAATACACACCACAATCTCGCCGTCTTGTCATTCAAACTGTGCGCCGTTGTGTGTGCTTTTTTCTGCTCTCGCTCGCTTTGTATGTTGGCCGTTTCTCTATTTCGGTTCCCTTCGCTCTCTCTCTCTCTCTCTCTCTGAGATGCATTC